GGCTTGTTTTCTCACAATGGTATGTAACTTTTGAAGACATCCTAGCACCTTTAAAATGATGTTTTAAAGATGTCATGGAAGCCTCTTTCCCCAATGTCATGTTGAAAAGCTGGGGAAAAGAGGCTTCCTTTGGGGATTGGTGTCAATCTCAGATGACTAGTCAGTGATGAAAAAACTTTTTAACCTTAGTATTGCCAGCTATGGGTTCCAACAGAGCTAGCCAGTATGGGTGGCAATGAAGGATATTGGGAGTTAACGCTCAGCAATGTTGTGGGGAGGAGGGTGTGGGTTTCCTGCCCCAGCTTTAGGGAAGACACAAGACCCCCCAGCCTTCCCTCTCCTTGGATTGATGGCTGCAGAGCCCAAATTAGGGGACCTGAAATGGAAAACCTGGGAGTCTTAAACTGTAAGAAGATTGAAATAAATCTTCATTGTTGTAGGTCTGGAGTCTCTAGAGGAGTGTTTTCCAGCCTCACAACTTTAAGATGTGTGGACTTCAACTCCCAGAATTCTCCAGCCAGCTCAGCCATTTTAAGACGTGTGGACTTCAGCTCCCATGCTGGCTGGGGAATTCTGGGAGTTGAAGTCCACATGTCTTAAAGTTGCCCAGTTTGGAAAACACTACCCTGGAGAGTCAGAAACTTCTTAGAGGAATTCCAGCTGGCCTAGAACAATCTTCTCCAGCCTGGTGGCCCTCCAGAAGAGTGGACTTGAGTCCCAGAATTCCCTGCTGTAGGGACTCCAGCCTACATCCACCCTAGGGACTGACATCCATTCATCTAGAAGTTATCTGCATTTGGGAAGACTGGTCTGAGTAGTCCATTTTTTCAGAGATGGGAACTGGTGTCCACCAAATGCAGCTGAGATATTGTTTGTTCTCAGTTGGTTCTGGTGGCTAGCACTGCTGGGAATCCTACTTTGGCAAAATCTGGGAGATCACCCATTTTGCAACTTTGCGTGGTTCCCTGTAATGGGTTGAGCGGCCAAATGCATCATCTCTGACCTGTGATGGATGGCCATTCTCTTGCACGGCCTGATTCACACATGACTTAAGGAGGTTGGGTTGTCCTTGGGTTAGCAAGTTGTGTGAACTCAGCCTTTGTGACTTACCACATTGAACTGTGCTTTGTTGAATAGGTGGACCTGGCTTTTAAGTAGTGGCTTGTCTAGCTAGGAACTAACACTCAGGATTTTGAGCAATGTGTTTGGCAGGTTACAACTTGGGGAGGATGTCAAAATTTCAAATTTGCCCTCACCAGTCACATGTAGCCCTAAATTCCAGCCTTGAAAGTTTACCCTTGGGTCTGAAAATGTTAAGAAAATATGCTGAGTGGTGCTATTCTGGAACACTTTAGTTCAGTGTTTCTCAACCTTGACACCTTGAGGAGGTGTGGCCTTCAGCTCCCAGCTGGCTGGGGAATTCTGGGAGCTGAAGGCCACATGTCTGAAAGCATGCTGGCTAGGGAATTCTGGGAGTTGAAGTGCAACGTCTTCAAGTTGCCAAGGTTGAGAAACCCTGATTTAGTTCAAAACACCAGGCAGAAGGAGCTAGAAGGAAAGAACGGGCGAGATTCTCAACTTTCCAGACGCCAGTCTCCTCGAGCGGTTGCCCCTTGTGTCTCTAACAGCTCTCGGGGCTTGTTAAGCAAAGCACGGGGCCCATTTCATGCCTGCCTTGTGGGATCTGCGTGCCACGCTTGCTCTGCGTGGCCGTGCCATGCCGTCCGTGTGTCTCTGTTCCAGAGGGAATGCCTTTCCATCCACATAGGGCAGGCTGGCGTCCAGATGGGAAACGGATGCTGGGAACTGTATTGCCTGGAGCACAGCATTCTGCCGGATGGGACCATCCCCAGCACCAAAGCGCTGAGCCAAGCGGATGCTTCGTTTGAGACCTTTTTCTGCAAAACGGGGGCAGGAAAACACGTTCCCAGAGCTGTGTTTATAGATCTGGAACCAACAGTCATAGGTACTGGATAATATATTGGAGGGATGGAGGGATGAATAATTCCATGCTAAGACCTGATTCCCACTTGTTCAACCCAGTCAACCACTAACTACCCTATTCAGATCATCCTAAGTGATGACCAACAGCCACCATATGAGCAATTATAACATTCTGCCTCTTGCCACTCAAACAGTGCCTTTCAACCTTGGCAGTTTTAAGCTGTGTGGACTTCGACTCCCAGAATTCCCCAGCTAGAATTCTGGGAGTTGAAGTCCACACAGCTTAAAGCCGCCAAGGTTGGAAAATGCTGCACTAGAAAGTACTACATATCCCATGAGCCTTTGCCCCAGTTGAGTACTGGGCAGGCTTCCTTACATTGCTGGCCCTTTCCCCATTGGTTAGGTCATCAGCAGTGGGCGAGGCTTGGAGGCTGTAACCAATCGGCTCTCGGGAGGCGTCTTCTGCTTCTGCCAAGATTCCGCTAACAAGAGTTAGGATAGAGAGCCTTGGGTTTGTAACCGCTCTCTATTGCCAACTCTTTTACTTGGAGGAGTGACTAAGCAGGGCTAGTTGGAAGTCGGGTGGCATACAAATTTTAATAATAATAATAATAATAATAATAGTGATAATAATGCACTTTTCTTGACTGGAACCTTATGAAAGCTGACCCATTGAGTATACTTAACCCCAATCTAAACTGAACTGGGTTAAAAGTGCCCCGTCTGCAGCACAGTTGAGGTCTTCAGACCCACTAAATTTGCCCAGGATCCAGTTAATTCCATTATACGGACACAGCCTTAGAGTTAATCTAGAAATTAAATCTTTTTTTAACAAAATGGAGCATCTACGTTGTCGGTTGCCCAGGATTCGTCTGCTTGTAAACCTCAGAAAACTAGGTTTCTTTTGGTAATCATGGAACGGTAGTATTACTCTGAGAATATATTTTTGTCAGTCTGTCTTTTCCAAACACAGTTACTGCATAAATGTGTATACTAATAAACGCAATACTCTGTCTCAGTGTTTCTGGCAACTTGAAGACGTGTGGACTTCAACTCCCAGAATTCCCCAGCCAGCCATGCTGGCTGGGGAATTCTGGGAGTTGAAGTCCACACGTCTTCAAGTTGCCCAGGTTGAGAAACACTGCTCTATCTTCTGTATATAGAGAGGAAAATGGAGCAATTCTGTCAGTAGCCTTGGAAATGCAGTCCCCGGATTTGACCCAGGATGCCTTTGCCCAGAAGGGGACTTTTGTGCTTTCAATATTGCGGTGTGGTGTGATGTATTTGAGCGGTATGCTCTGGATATAGGGCTGGGGGCTGTTCATCTCCTATAGGCCTCTCCCTACAGATGAAATCCGCTGTGGGACGTATCGCTCCCTCTTCCACCCGGAGCAGCTGATCAGTGGCAAAGAAGATGCTGCCAACAATTACGCCCGGGGCCACTACACCATTGGAAAAGAAATCATTGACACCGTCCTGGATAGGATTCGCAAAATGGTGAGCAGCAAGCTGGCTCCCTGCTGGTCTCCTCAGGTAGACTCTGCTGTGCTCCTGGATGCTCGTATTGAGCTAAACGAGAATGGCATCCTAGTTCAGATGTAGGACTTGGAAAATCCCAGATCAAGTTCCAGCTTCATCACAGAATTTGCTCATTAGCTTTGAACCAGCCAGTCTACCTCACAGGGGTGTTGTCAGAGCCTCCCCCATGGAAATTGCCTGGAGCTTTCCGAGAAAAGGCGAGTGTAAAACTAAATAGAGAGCTATGCTGCTTCAGGCTTCCTCCATCTGGTGTCCCCTAGCCTTAGAAAACAGCCTCTGTCACTCCCTGTGTGATGGTTGAGAATTATGGATATTGTAGTCTATCAGATTGGGGAAGACTGCTCTAGAGCAAGGCTGAGGAACATTGGGTCTCCAGATGTAGTGAAATAACCAACATCCCAAAGTGTTGGCCATGTCAATTAGCATCCTTGGAGGGCCATTGAGAAAATGGAAAGGGTATAAGTTTCTTCTCGGAGAATGGCCTGGTTCATACAACACACCGACTTCCAGAAGATCCAACCCCATATTAACCTAGTCCAGGGTCAGGCTGAAGCACTGGTTGCTAGGCCGGAGCTACATGGCAGTTGAATGAGACGCTCGAGGTGGAGGTAGTGTCCTGATTGACCTCCTAAGGCTGAGGATGATTCTAGATGCAGGTCAGCCCTGATGATGACTTCAATACAGTGTCAGTGAACCTTCTCCATTCTCAACCCAACCACTAGATCACACCACTTTTTGACCCAGGAGGGCCGGGAAATAGAGGTTGTGTCATGAGGACCATGTTGCATTTGCTGGTCCAGAGCAGTATCCAAGCATGGTTTTGTACCATCATCCCTACTAGTCAAGACTAAACTCAAAAGCCATCCTTGACCTACTGAGCTCTGATGGAGTCATCCGAGCCTTCATCTGACCAGTTCATATTGGTTCCAATAGAAGAGAATATTTGTAGCTCAGGGTTGAACTGTGGAGTCCTTGGGGTTCTCTGAGCTTGGTTGTTTTCTTGCAAATGTTTCATTTGCAAGAAAACAACC